GCCCGCACGGCCGAGCCCGGGGCCGAAGCCGGGAACCGAGCATGGAGCGCCCGGCCGCTCCCCCCGCCGGCCCCGTCCGGGAGCACCCTCCGAGCGCGGCGGGCGGCAGCGCTCCCGCTCCCTTCCCCCCACGCCCGCACTTTGCCATTTAACAAAGCGGCGCAACCAAAAGTTACGTTTCCATAGACGCCAGCCGCTTTCCTGGCGGCCCCTCCTCGGCTGCTGGGGCTGCTCTGGGAAAAGCAGGGTTTCACCCGTCAAAGATTAACGCGGGACTCGGGGGATCGTCTTTCTCCCCCCTCCGCTTTTTCCACAGAATGACAGAAGCGTTTGGGTTGGAGATCAGCTACTTCAAGCCCCGGGCAAGGCAGGGTCACCTGGAGCAGGTGACACAGGAACACGTCCAGGTGGGTTTGGAATGTCTCCAGCGAAAGGAGACTCCATGACTTCCCTGGGCAGCCTCTTCCAGTGCTGTGCCACTCTCAACGTAAAGAAGTTCTTCCTTAGTTAGTATTTTATGTTTTAGTTTTATTTTCCTCTCCCCTTCCCACACCCCCCCCAACATTTTCCCGGCTGCTCTACACTTCTCCAAAACAATCTGGAATGGACAAGCTAAGAAAGCAAAGCTTGACAAATGTCCATCTACAAATGGCTCTTTCCTAATCCTCCAAATGCTCCCTGCCAATTTTATTCTCCTGCAGAGAGAAAAACAAATCAAGAAAACATTACGCAAGTGTCACTTCACTTGCATTGATAGATACTTGCAAACCAATGGGTCCTGCCAATTTGAGCAGTAATGCAACTACCTTTGTTCAACTTCCCTTCACACAAAAACCCCAAAGCAGCTGTTGTGTAATGCTTTGCTTCTGTCAATCTCAAGTTTTTTTAAAATTTGTTTAGGTATCAGACATCTGCAAGACACAGGTTGACACGTTGACAACAATAATCTGACTTGTCCGCCAAACAAAGTAAGACCATGCATCACCTCTATTTTCTCACTCATCTTAATATTTTCTCTTATCAAATTCTCTTCTGTCACACCGAGCTGCAGCTGGACATAGTTAATCTTGCACACCATCTGTTGTGGACAAGCAAGTAATTTCAATATTGTCTTATGAATACTGGTTAGAGAAAGTACCAATAAATGCACCTAGGAACTCAGAGACACAGTTTCACCTCTAAGACTGAACTAAACAAATCCCCGCACTGATTCACAGAGCAGGATCTACCCAGGTAGATGGAGTGGACCAGTGCTGCCTCTCCTTCCATTTTCAACGTGTTATAGGTGCCCAGCCTACAGGAAAGTTTTTATCAAGCCCATTCTGCAGAGATAAAGACAAAATTTTAAAAAGAAAGCACTCACGTGAAAAAATCTCCAGGTGTTTACTCTGAAACAAGTAACTATTGTATAAGAGCCATTGTGCCATGTTAGTACAGGTACGGACACATAAATGTATTTGGCTACAAGGTGCTATCACGCTCTGGCTTATCAGCACATCTCTGTAACCACACGTATTAGCACACTCAATCTGCTGCAATGAGAAGGTTAAATATGTTATTCCAAACCTTAGCTGAGATGGTGAATGTCATGGGTTTGTTCTGCATTAAGGGTTGGTTGCCTTGGTCCAACTAACAAGGGGTGAACTGCAAAGCCCCTACTCAGACATTAATCACTTTGCCTATTCCCGTTCACACTCAAAATCCTTCAGGTTCAGCCAGGACAAGCCCCTGTTGGACATCCATCTCTGCTGAGTTTAAACATTTTTCTAACCAATTATTCTGAGATCAAATAAAGTCAGCTCCCCTTCAACCAAAGAAGCTACCAAGCAGCAAACAGAAGCTGTGTGTTCCCCAAAGCATATTAAACAAAAGGAGTGTTTAGAGTCAGTAGGTTAAGCAAGGCTGGAGCACCAAGTTTCCTGTGTGCCATCTATGCTGTAACTGCCTGTTTTGATGAGCTTCCACTACAGCCCTGGTGTGGTACCACATTCCAGGTGATACCCCTGCAGCATGACTGACCTGCCATCAATTCAAAGGGTTGTCTTTCTTGCGCTGCTCTACCTTAAACCTGCAGATATTTTCACGTGTTACACTGTTAAAAACTTTAGGTTTTCACCTAGAAGGTAATGGGTCCCCTGACAAGTTTAAGTATTCTAGCACAAACAAGTTGTAATTTAATAATAGCTGGTTAAAATAATAATAATAATAAATTACTCTCAGTATTTTTCCCTGCTGTTCATGGGACCCAAGATAACAGGTATGAAGCCATATTAGACAGCCTTGTTCTTCCCCTTCTTTGGGGATGGATTTTCTCTCATATCAAAGGGTGAAATTTAGTTATTTTACTGTAAGAGGACATTAATTGCCATAAAAATCTTAGTAAGGAAAAAGTGTGATTTTACTACAGCACAGTCAGATGTGGTCCAACACCAGTCATGTTGACTGATTACTACTTCTCCACACAAAATGCCCATAAATTTCTATCAGTAGGATTATATGTTCAGCAGCAGTTCCATTGGAAGCTGATCCCACCCCACACCTCTTCTTCCCAGCCTTGGAATTGTTCCCATTCAGATGAATGTTGGATTGTGGACCAGACACATGGACCAAACCTGCTACAGGGCAACCCAGCAAGAAGCAGCAGGGATGGACACTGAGAAAAGGCAAAGCAATTGTGTCTGCAGCAGTTCCCTGCCCTGATTCACACATCTCCACAAACGTGTGTCACCATAATGGCAAGGCAGGAAGTGTTTATGCCAATGCTTCTGCCAAGAAAACGTACATGGGAAAAATGGGACCAGTCATCTCTTCTCAGACTTTTTTTTTTTTTTTTTTAATAAGCAACAGAAGTCGTAGATTTAATGATTAAGATAAAAACTTATGTCTATACATATGGTAGACTGTTTTCTTCCAAGCTCAAACTGATAAACTCAAGGATGCCACTCTTGAGTTAATAAAGACACATTGAGTGAAGCACACCCTATCTGTTTGTGATAGGCCCTATTTACATTCCTAACTTTGAGAGAATGTTTCTTCACAGCAACCAAGAGAAATTCAGAAACAGACAAGTCACCAATTCCAACATACTCTATCAAAATTTCAGATGAAGCACATACAAATAAGAGTCATGGGCTCCTCAACAGAAGTATTTCTTGGTTCCTCTAACTGGGTCATACATCTGATCCGTTACTTCATGATTTTAAAATGTAAAGACAGATATATTAGGAAGCTCAAAAATGTGTTTCTCTTTCTTAAACATTTTCTTTAACTCCTGCCGACCTGCTATTTCCAAAATATTCAATGGCTTTCTAAAAATATTATAGTTGTAACAACTTGAGATTAAGCACTAAATACAGAGCTACCAAAAGACAACAGCAGAAAAGGAAATGCAGTATTTCTCCTTAGCCTGGCAATTCTACTGAAATGTAAAGGCATTTTACCTTCTAGCATCCCTTTATGCTTCCATGCTACATAGCAACTCAAACCACCCTCTTCTGTGAATAATTTCTCTGTAAATTCCAATTTTCATGCCAAAGAATTAAACAGAAGACAACTGACTCCTTTTTTCTACTGCATCTGAAGGGGTTTGGAAGTTCTTAGTTTCTAACCTGTACCACAACATTCTCTAGAGATAGACTCCATTTCTAAAAGTAAAAAATGAAATTAAAAAAGGTTCCAAACAGTCTATTTCCTCTCCCCTGCTCTCTCTTCTTGTGAGCATGAGCCAGATCATATCTAGACCCAAAGACAGGTTGGCAGCATGTCACACAGCCAAGAAACACGTTTTGTGTATTAACTGCATACCCACATTAACATAGTGTGATAAATTTGATTTAAAACCATTACATCTAAGATGTCGCATATAGCAAGCTTGCTTTTAGAAACAGAACTTGCACAGCAATGTAAGTCAGATAATTGAAACAGCTTTCTATGAAGAAAGCATCACATTTGGTCTCTTCTCATGGTTTTGACTGGCAAGGTTTGACAAATATAACTTCCAACCCCTCTACCATGAGCAGGGACACCTTCCATAGACCAGATTACTCCAAGCCCCATCCAGCCTGGCCAGAAACACTTCCAGGGATGGGGTAGCCACAGCTTGTCTGGTCAAACTGTTCCAGTGGCTCACCACCCTCACAGCAAAGTGTTCCTAAAAATCTAATCTAAACCTGCCCCCTGACAGTTGGAAGCCATTCCCCCTTGTCCTGTCACTAGACTTCCTGATGAAAATTTTCTTTATGACAAAAAAAAATTAAAGAGATGAGCAAATCAATACAGAGAGGACTAAAACCCAACATAGATGAAAAGACCACAAGTTCAAAAGAAGATGCAAGATGAGAAGAGGCAGAAAAACAGAAATACCTAAACACTCCCAGGCCATCAGAAAATGACTCATTGCTAGTGACATGCACTGTTAGCTCCTAGCACAGGCAGCACAAAACTGTTTTCAACAGTGCATGATGGAAATCCAATGAGACTATAAATTCTGATGTATCTGCTTTAACATAATCAAAATAGTCCTATACTTTTCTAGTAGATAAACTTTTAAATGTACTTTTTAAAAAGAAAATCTGGAATGCCAGGTGACACCATTTCTGAAAAAAACAATCCCAATGTAGTAAAAAAGTAATAATTTATTTAGTATATGTGGAATTACACAGATTGATAAAGCAAGTATCTAGTGACAAAGGAAAAAAAAACACAGACAATGAAACAAAGAGATTGAGTAAACTATTTTCTTTCCATAAACAGTACAGGAAAACACCATCTAGAAAACAAGTTATTACACATCATTCACTGTGTAAAAGCAATGGGTACAACATAAATAACAGACCTCACCTTGAGAAGGGATGCTCATGGAGTAGGATCACTCACTCACTCAGGTTGACAAAGACCTCAAAGGTCAGCCAGTCCAACCTCCTTCTCAAAGCAGGTCACAGTCAGTTCCCAAAATGGTTTAAAAGTATTTTGAAGTTCAATTTATTGTTTACATAGCTGTGTAATTACACACAGTGCTGAAATCCAATGGGGGGACCCTACTTGAAATAACTTATGTCAAGTACAGACAACAGCAATCAGGGCATAAAGGTGATATTCAGACAAACTAAATCCCACCTAAACACCTTTGTTTAGTATTTCTTATTAGATTGCCCCTGTTCAGACCCCAGTCTATCTGAATTCCATTTCAGAGATAACTATTTCATTCTTCTGACTAAGCATAAAGACCTTAGCAAAAATTTAAAGACACTTCCTCCTTTCATTAGTAAGCTCCTTTAGAATAGTAAAATAAATCTAATTATTCCTTTCAAGTTTTGAAAGAAAACAACTCAGACAGAAACTAGACCATCACAATGCTACTAAAAAAGAAACCTAGATGGCATGACCACAGGAGCTAGAACTCAGCCTCTGCCCTGTCCCCAAGGCCCATTACTAATAGCTATTATGGAATATGCTCCCACACCACATGCCATGGTCACATCCATGCACATGTAAATTCTCCAAGTTCAGTTCAGGCTACAAACTAGGGGACAAAAAGAAAAAAAAAAAAAAAGAAAAAAACCCCAGAAATATTCAACAACTTGAGTGAACAACATTTATAGTCTTTAGATAAAAGCCAGCTAACAAATGTCTATCACAATATTTTTCCAAATTCTAGCCACGAGGAAAGCAGTGCATCTGAGAAGATACGGAATAGCTGAGAGCCCAAGCTTCAACTCAACAAGTTTAAACATGTCCAAGACAATTATGACTTCACTTTTTCTAAGTGTGAGCACGTTAACTATAGAATAGACAAGAAACTTTCATTGGTCTAAAAAAGCCTTTAAAATAACATAGTAAAGCTAACAATGTAAAAACAGATTTTTTTTCATCTATCAAGACTAAAGCAAGTAAAATGAAAAGAGATGCATGAATTAAAAAAAAAAAGTAAACCAAAAATATTCTTAAACAAACATTTATTTACATTATCAGTAATTTAAAACCCCCACTGACAGCATCTGATTAACAGGCCTTGAGATCAGGATTTTCTGCTTGTCCATAAAGTAGGTTCACAACCAACAGTACTTCCTCTGTTCTACTCTACCAATGTATCCTTGTCTGAGAAGACCACAGAGAGCGCATGAAATGTGAGTTTACCGAGTTTTCATATTTATTCTTTACCAACCAATACATTTGAAATCAATGTATTTCCAAGCTGCTCACAGCACACCACAAGACAATGAATACACTCCCATTCCATTAAAGAAAGAGACAACAGCACAGTCAGACATGAGACAGTCCTTAGTGCTACATGTAAGAGCTCAGAGATTATTTATTTAAATAATTTTGCTTACAGATCATTTATTTCTTGAGTTACCCTCCCATTTCTGGGCCCAGTTCCCTCCTAAAGGGTTTCTCGACAACACAGGCAGAAATATAAATTAGAATTCCTGCCAAATGTGTTTTGCATTTTCCTTTGTATAAATCTCTACCAGGATGCCTGATGCAAGGTTAATTACTCAAAACATGAACCAGGAAACATTGTGTGTGAGAAGCCTGAAGTAGCACTGAAAGCCAGCATTTCCCAGAGCCTCATGGCTTGCACATCCCATCTCCTCTGCTCCCTCCAGAGCAATTCTGCTGTGAGCTGTTCCTCCTAAACTTACATCCCTATGGGTTAGAGAACATTAACTGTGCCACGCTGTTTGCCCAGGAGGCTGGAAGTGAAACTGATGAGAATTCTATCAGTTTGATTGAATTCCTCCTTAAAAGAACACAAACAATGAAACAAATCCAGTTATGGTTACACCAGTACATTAAACGTAGTTGGTGATGTTGGCCTTGAGGCTGACAAGCGCCAGACAGCTTCCATCCACGCTATCTAATTCCCAAACTCCCACACAAAGCAGCCACACACAAACTATGCTGGGAACAGCATGTGGACCACACGGAACCTTGGGCCAGCCTTGAGAATGGTTTGGCAGTGGTCAGAACTGGATGAGAAACCATGTGACAGTGGGGACAACGCCGGGGACAGCAGTGTCCAGCAACTCCAAACGTTCCCTGCTGGGTTTTCCACAACCACGGACAAGAAGCTGAGTGTTTCATGTGCCAGAACACTATTGCTGGCTCCAGCCATGCCTCTCATCCATACAAAACACTAGCACAGCCACAAATCAGCCCCACACAGGAATGGAAAAATTTAAGGAAACTGAAATGATCAGTTCTTTTTATTTTTATTTCAAAATTCCCTTTTCCAAGGTTTTCCTCACAATGGAAATAGAAATCTGGCCCATTTCTAAGTTCTAGTCTCATCCTCCAGTTCAGTGGGCCATGGTAAGAAAAAAATAGTCACTTGCTTTTATTACAAGGGGAAAAACAGAAGGAAAAAAGCTGAAGGTGAAAGAAACACATAAGCAACGAATGGGATCTAGGGAAAAAGGAACTGAGAAGGCTGGGAGAGAAAAATCTGAGGAAGTTGCTGAGTCTTTGGAATCAGCTAACAGAAGTTTTCAGAGCACGTATCTCAGAGGGTAAGAAGAGGCTTTCATCATCCATACGTCTAATAGAAAACCAAAATATCAGAACAAACAGCCCAACATGTTTGTGAAAACGCTGAGGACAACTGTTTCACAAAGTTGAGGGTGCCAGAAGAGCAGTTACTTCACACTTCACTCTATTAGGGCAGGCTCCATTTTAAACATCTCAATGTGTACAGTGATTTGGCTGGAAGTGGTAACGAGAAGCACTCGCTGTGCCAAGGAAGGGGGAAAGCGAGAGCAGTAGAGAGAGGAGAGCAAATTTTTATCTTCAATTAACTG